CCAGGAGTTTGACAGCCCTGCCTTAGGGCAATAGAGCTTTTACAGCTCTCATTTTAGAGAATTAACTAGATTGTATGCACTCAAGGAATGGTGAAATTCTGGTTCTTCATTCATTCTACCAGTACTGACAAAATCATTTCAGGAAGGATAAAAAGAGATTGGTCCTGATAACTGCATTTCAATTTAACCTTGGTGGAATGGGTGATATTTAAAAATACTGTTTTGAAGCTCATAGGATCTTGAAATGTCCATTTACACACACATACACTCATGCACACAGTGTGTGTATGTGTATTTGTGCACAGTCACATGCCTTTTTATGCAAACCATATACTTTTGTTTGCACATCTATTTGTGTTCTAGCCTTCTAGCTCTTCACCCTTTGCTTTATCTCCACACAATAAAAAGACATTATAATAGTTTGAGATGTAAAATGCCAAATTTCTTTTATAAAGTATGCTTAAAGAAATTCTGCCATTTGTTCTTTCTTAGCCTAATGTGCTTTATGCTTCATCTCCTGGCTTACAGTTAACAAAACAAAAATAATGAAGTGGTAGAGACCTGAATGTCAGCTATTTTTTTTTAATCCAACACATTCACTTTTGAATACATCTGGACCTAGGATAGGTGGCATACTGAGAAGAAAGCTGCAGACAGTGCTTGCTTTGAAATCCACAAAAGCTGCAACAGGGGTTGAGTTCTTAATAGGGCACTTTTGAAAAAGGGGGTTCAAAAGATATGAAATGATCTCAGATCTATCAGCAAGTCCCCGAGGTCTTAAGAATGTGGATGGTATAAATAAAAGTATTCTCTTTGGATTTGAGAGTTCTTAGTTTGGAAAGTGTGCTGAAGCCCTCATGTGGAAAGAGGTTCTATCATGACTAATTAATTGAACAATCTGACTTCATTTAAAACCAAATCACCAAAAACTCGAGAGCAGGCCAGGGATGCTTTGCGAGTTGACAGAATGAGTGTACAAATTCATTGGAGTGATAATTCGAGAGAAATTCAAAGCCAAAGATGCCATCAATAAATTTGACCAAATATTTGTAAGTCATTCTGAATGTATGGGAAAGGGTGAAGTACAGATAGTCCTTGAGCCCAAAGTTATGTTGCTAAGTGAAACATTTGTTAAGTCAGTTTGCCCCCATTTTACGACTTTTCTTGCCACAGTTGTTAAGTGAGACATTGCATTTATTAAGTTAGCAACATGGTTGTTAAGTGAATCAGGATTCCCCATTGACTTTGCTTGTCAGAAGGTCGCAAAAACTGATCACATGACCCCAGCACACTGCAATCATCATAAATATGAACCACTTGCCAAGAATCTGAATTTTGATCATGTGATCAAGGGGATCCCACAACGGTCGTAAGTGTGAAAAACAGTCCTAAGTCACTTTTTTCAGTGCCGTTGTAACTTTGAACGGTCACTAAATGAACCATTGTAAGTCGAGGATTGCCTGTACAAATTCAATGGTTCCAAATTACATTTGGTATAGGAATTAAATTCAGATTGATCTCAGTTCGTATGCTGTGCATCAGTGCTTAATTTTTACAGTAAATCTCTGCTTGCTGAGAGACTGGATTATTTGCAGACAAATAGTTAGGTTCACATCATATGCATTCCCATAGTTCCCTAGTTCTAATTTCTCCCTTTTGTAAACTTTTAAAAAAACAGAAAGTATGTGAGGAGGTTTCTGGACTTCTTTCGAATCTCTTAGTCAACTTAGAATGGAGGTTAACTCCCTGTTCGACAGCCATAAGAATTCACTGAGGAATTTTTTCTGGCTCTTTTCCCTCCAAACTGCCTCGCCTGATCCAGTCCATTTTCAAACCTTTTCTTTCTTTTGCCTACTTCTCCCACCACACCAAAAGTGATCCAGTTCTATTCTGTTTATTTGGAGAATTTTTGCTGATAGACAAATTGACAAACAGACGGATCAATAAAATCCCTTCTGGTATATGGATAGTCCTTGACTTACAGCCATGGCAAAAAATGTTGTTAACAGCAAGGCAGCTGTTAACTCACTTAACAGTTGCCTTGCTTAGCCATGGAAATTTTGGGCTCAGTTGTGGTCATAAGTTGAGGCCTATCTGTATGTATTGACAAACACTTTAATTCTTAACAAAGCAAAAACATCCTTTGTTACTTTCTCTGAGCCCAAGGTAGGAGGAAACGGTAAACCACTTCTGAAAATGGTTGATGGTCCCTGAAAAAGTTACTGGTGCAGCTTCTGTGAAAAGGATACCTACCAACTCCTTTGATGAACTCCTGGCCAAAGTTCCATAACAGATGCTCTGGATCAGCATTGCACCACATGTGGTATGGATCCATCCATCCAAATCAAGAGCAGAAGTTAGTAGCAGACTTTTTTTGTAATCAGTGAGAAGTATGGGAGAAGTGCCAAAATCATATGAGTTGAAGTACCAAAAAGTACAGTGAAGGAATTTTGTAGCAGAGAAAGCCAACTGTGGTTATTCTAACAGGAGGCTAATTTACGTTTTTCCATTTCCAAATTCTTCCCTTTGCACTTGTCAAACATCTGTTAATTCCTAAGGAACCAGTCCAAAGTAAAGAATGCAACTTCCCATTTTGGAGTAATTAGAATAGAATAGAATAACAGAAGGAAGGGACCTTGGAGGTCTTCTAGTCCAACCCCCTGCCCAGGCAGGAAACTCTACACCACTTCAGACAAATAGTTATCCAACATCTTCTTAAAAACTTCCAGTGTTGGAGCATTCACAACTTCTGCAGGCAAGTTGTTCCACTGATTAATTGTTCTAACTGTCAGGAAATGTCTCCTTAGTTCTAAATTGCATCTCTCCTTGATTAGTTTCCACTCATTGCTTCTTGTTCTACCCTCAGATGCTTTGGAGAATAGTTTGACTCCCTCTCTTTTGTTGCAACACCTGAGATATTGGAACACTGCTATCATGTCTCCCCTAGTCCTTCATTTCATTAAACTAGACATACCCAGTTCTTGCAAACGTTCTTCATATGTTTTAGCCTCCAGTCCCCTAATCATCTTTGTTGCTCTTCTCTGCACTCTTTCTAGAGTCTCAACATCTTTTTTACATCGTGGCGACCAAAACTGAATGCAGTATTCCAAGTGTGGCCTTACCAAGGCATTATAAAGTGGTAATAACACTTCATGTGATCTTGATTCTATCAATAAAATAAAATTGATTTTCTTGTGTTTTGTCAAAGGCTTGGACATGCTAATAGCTATGCATTGCTCTCTGTCAATGTCACTGAGATTCCCACATACACAAGGGCGGACATCACCAGCCTTGTAGCACTTCAACTCTAATACATTCATTGTGGCCAAAGCTGTTATTGTCAAATATCCACTTATGTCAAGAGCAGGCAGCATTTTTGTCTGAGCAAAGTAGGTATTTCCTAAATATTTCAGCTACCGCTGGTGGTATGACCTAAATCATGATAATAAGTGATATGACACAGGGGTGAAACCAGCAGGTTCTGACAGGTTCTGGAGAACCAGTAGTGGAAATTTTGAGCAGTTCGGAGAACCCGCAAATGCCATCTCTGGCTGGCCCCAGAGTGGGATGGGAATGGAGATTTTGCAATATCCTTCCCCCAGGAGTGGGCAGGGAATGGGGATTTTGCAGTATCCTTCTCCTGCCAAGCCCGCCAAGCCACGCCCACAGAACCAATTGTAAAAGAAATTGGATTTCACCACTGATATGACAGCATGATTAAGGCCAAATATTTTAGATCTGGAAATGTGTGTGACAATTTTAGGACGAAGGCTTTAAATTAGCATATAATTTTCTTCCCCAAATTAAAAACCACTCCACCTACTGCTGAAAACATTCCCATGAGAAGTAAGCAGTAAGTAAGGAGATGGGAGGGGAACAAGGGGAACAAGGAGGAATCCAGGACAAGGGATGGACTCACTGCAAACCTGAACGTGAGTTTTACAGACTGCAGTTTCTCATTCTGTTTCCAAAGACTGGTTTCATTATTTGCTCAAACAAACAAATAATGCTACCTGGGAAACAACTGAGAAAGAGGAAAAAAAGAGATGCAAAGCTAAATAGGGAAAGAATCTATTGTTCTTCCCTTGTGTTTCTATTTAAATGCTGCACAGCACTGCCAAAATCTAATCTCTATGTAAAAGTAAGAGAAAAAATAGTACTGTGAGATTGTCAAAGTGTTGGATTATTGACTGAGAACATTTAGATTAAGGCCCACCTTCAGCTGCAGGAGGTCACAGAGTGATACTGAGAAATAGTCTCTATTTCTCAACCTGGCCTACATCATAGGAAAGGGAAAATGAGAGGAGGAAGTACTGTGTATGGTATCTTGACATACTGGAGGAAAAGCAGAATATAAATTTAATAAACAGGTTATATGTATGTATGTATGTACTGTATGTATGAACGAACGAATGAATGAATGTGTTTGATAGATTGCTTTGTGTGGAGAAGGCAGACTTACAATAACCCAGACCCAAGTTATTGTTGCCTACAGTATGGAAACAAAATGCTTTAATTGAAACAATGTGTGACACATATTGTTTAGCCCAGGAGCCCAGAATGTAAGATCATAAATTTAGAGCTAATATCAGCTCAGGTTAAGAATGATAGTAGGGTTGGCTTCATATGTTGCAATAAGCTATATTTTTGTTTTATTACAACTGATTGAATAAGCCAGGTGACCTGATCCAGAATGCAGCAAATGTTCTTTCAGCTTGCCTGTGAAAGAGCAATTACAGTAAGCCATATATTATCTTCTATGCTGTAGCCATTAATTAAGAAACATAGGGATCAAATTGACTGGCTCACATCCCAAAAAGAAAAAGTTGCAAGACACAGGTATGTATGTGGGCAGGTAGTTGGTTTGGGTCCTATTAAGACTTAGAGAAAGAATGGGGAAGGATTGTTTTGGGTGGGCATGGCCTGCATATGATGCATCCGGTCTGCGTGCCGCCAGTTTGACACACCTGCATTAGAGGCTTAGCAAATGAGGACCAGACTGTATGCAGCAAATGCAGAGAACAGGTATGTGTGTGTATATATGTGTGTGTCTCTGTGTGTGTGTGTGTGTGTGTGTGTGTGCATATATATGTGTGTATATACATACATAACATACATGTGTGCCCCACCCACTGCTCCGGATATCGTCATCGGCGATCTGCACATGCAGATCTCTTTCTAGAGTCTCAACATCTTTTTTACATCGTGGTGACCAAAACTGGATGCAATATTCCAAGTGTGGCCTTACCAAGGCATTATAAAGGGGTATTAATACTTCATGTCATCTTGATTTTATCCCTCTGTTTATGCAGCCCAGAACTGTGTTGGCTTTTTTGGCAGCTGCTGCACACTGCTGGCTCATATCTAAATGATTGTCCACTAGGACTCCAAGATCCCTCTCACAGTTACTACTATTGAGCAAGGTACCACATATACGGTACCAGTGCATTTTGTTTTTCTTCCCTAAATGTAGAACCTTGCTCTTTTCACTGTTGAATTTCATTTTGTTAGATAGCGTCCAATGTTCAAGTCTGTCAAGATCCTTCTGTATCTTGAGCCTATCTTCTGGAGTGTTGGCTATTCCTGCCAGCTTGGTGTCATCTGCAAATTTGATGAGTTCCACATCTATCTCCTCGTCCAAGTCATTGAAGAAGATGTTGAAGAGCACTGGGTCTAAAACAGAGCCTTGGGGTACTCCACTGCATACTTCCCTCCAGGTAGATGCAGTTCCATTGAGGACTACACATTGAGTGTGGTTGGTCAGCCAGTTACGAATCCATCTGGTAGTGATGCTGTCTAACCCACATTTTTCTACTTTATCTAGTAGTAGGTTATGGTCTACTTTATCAAATGCTTTACTAAAGTCCAAGTAAATTATATCGACAGCATTCCTCTGGTCCACTAATTTTGTTACTTTGTCAAAGAATGCAATAAAATTAGTCTGGCATGATCTGTTTTTGACAAACCCATGTTGGCTTTTGGTTATTACTTGGTTTGCTTCTAGGTGTTCGGTGATTCGTTGTTTGATTATCTTTTCCAGAATCTTCCCTGGTATTGAGGTCAGGCTGATAGGTCTATAGTTTCCTGGATCTATTTTTTTTCCTTTTTTGAAAATGGGAACTCCATCAGCTCTTTTCCAATCCTCTGGCAGTTCCCCTGTGCTCCAGGATCTTTGAAAGATATAGTTCAGTGGTTCTGAGATCTCATCTGCCAGTTCCTTCAGAACCTTGGAGTGTAATCCATCTGGTCCTGGTGATTTGAACTCATCTAGGGTAGACAGGTGTTCACTTACTATTTTCTTCCCTATTTTACCTTGTGTTCCTAATCTGTTTTTTGGTAGGTTTTTGGTAGGCTGTTTTTGGTAGGTTGGACTGTTTTTTCCTTTTGTGTAAAAACAGATGCAAAAAATGAGTTAAATAGTTCTGCTTTCTCCCTGTTGCTTGTCTCTTTCTTGCCACTTTCTCCCAGCAATGGGCCAATTGTTTCCTTGACTTTTTTCTTGTTTTTAATATGTTGGAAGAAGCTTTGTGAACCGAATTTCTCCTGCATAGTGTCTCAGCCCCAAATCACTTCTTACACTGACCTCCTCAGTTCAGACGAATCTGTTCCTTCTACTGTAACACCAGTTAAAGGGGAAAGAGGGAAGAACCTCAGGAAAAGATTTACAGATGCAATTAGGAAAACGTGAGTAAGGGAAGCTGCAAAAAAATATTGTCAAAGTCATCTTGAAGTCAATAGAGAGGCTGTAAAAAAGTATGCACCTAGTAACCCCTACATTAATCAGGCAGCTACAGCTAAATACAATGAAAAGATATCACAAATCAGATCAATGCCTTGGACTAATAAGTATTTGTCTGGTTTTAAATATGAACCTCAGATTAATTATTCTAGGGAAAAGGTTGTTGATCTCGGACCTTGGTTACCCTGTGCCTGGTGCCGTGCCCTGAAGCGGCAGGATGAGACTCCCGGGATGTACTGCAGTGATGGTAAAGTCCAGCTCCCTCCCCTTGAGCCCCACCCTGAACTCTAACACAGCATTCTCACCCACCAGCATCCAATGGCAGAGCACTTCCTTTCCACTGCCCAGAAGTACAACGGATGCTTCCAAATGACGTCTTTGGAGCCAGAGAGCTGAAGGAGGGAAATTTTATGCCAACATTCAAAGTGCAGGGGCAGGTCTACCTCAGGATAGGGAGTATCATGGCAGGGCCTCAGCAGCAGCCTTCATTTCTCCAGATACGTGTCAATTTATCAAGTCCGATCACATCGTTTCGTAGCGAAGCACAGGTATCCAGCTAGTTCCTTTATAAGTTTCATTTCATGAGAGGAATGCTGAGAATAGCTGAGGATAAAAAAATTTAAACCATGAGATAGACCGGAAGATATGTTTTATGTAAATATATAATTTGGAGTAATGTATTAAAATTAAACATAGAACTGGAAAGAAAGCCTCTAGCAAATCTAGCCTTAAGCAGTCAGAAATGGGTAGTTCACAGCAGTAAGCCATTGCTAGTCTTCCCTGCTGTGTATGATAAATTGTAATGTAGTTTACAATCAAGCAGAGTTTTCAAGAAAAGTATATTGATCCACATGCTGACACTGAAATATTTAAATTAACAAAACCATCTCTTTGGAGCTCTTGCGGGAGAAATATTCAACATTTGTCTGCATGTCATTCACATACCTCCAGCAGCTTTTGAAGGATAGGAAAAACATAACACAGCAAGGGTTTTACCTGCAATTCATAGACATATGCAAGACTTTAGGAGAATTTAATGATTTCAGCAATAAGAAAATTCCTTCGTGGTGCACAGCCATCAAGTTTAGTAACACACCTCATTGGAAACTGTCTTTGTTTTTTCTTAGTCAATCTGTATGGAAAATAGGGGAGGTGTATTTCATTATTGCAGTGTTTATGAAATCAGATGGAAGCTATGGAAGAAAAGAAGTTGATGAAGAAGAAGACAGGGAGAAAAGAGTTGCTTTATTTTACATTATTCACTAGTTTACAGAGTAGCATGTTCCTAGCCAAAGATTAAGGTAGCCAAATCTCTCATACTAATCATGATTACTGAATCTCAGTGAAGTTACTTTAGAGGAATGAAGAAGTTCCACTTCAGAGGCATTCAGTCATTATTTCATCATGGATTGCCTACTGATTTCTTACAAGAGTAGAAAGTGGGAGGCAGTCACCAGTAGGTATAATAAGGTATAAGAGTAACAACATGAGCTTCTGAGTAGCCCTCAAGAGCCTGAACTATAGCAGAAGAAACAATCATTTGCTTGTGCACCTTTTCTTGTGCTGAACTATTTTCTTCCAGTTTATTCAATAGCTACAACTTTTTCTCATTCCAACTTTCTTCACAAAATGTCTGCTTACTTGGGAGACATCAAGACTCAGGCCTTACTCACATATGGCAAATCCTTTTAGGGGTCAGGAATAGTGTTTCAGAAATTGCTCCTTCTAATCTAACCAAGATCACATGAGATAGTAATGCCACTCTATAAAGCCTTAGTAAATCCACACCTAAAATACTGCATCCAATTTTGGTCACCACATTATAAAAAAAAGATGTTGAGACTCTAGAAAAAGTGCAGAGAAGAGCAACCAGGATGATTAGGGGACTGGAGACTAAAATATATGAAGAACGATTGCAGGAACTGAGCATGGCTAGTCTAGTGATGAGAAGGACCAGGGGAGACATGATACCAGTATTCTAATACTTGAGGGGCTGTTACAGACAGGAGGGAGTCAACCTACTTTTCAAAGCACCAGAAGGCCAGACAAGAAATAATGGAAACTGATCAAGGAGAGATTTAACCTGCATAGTGTCCCAGCCCCAAATCACTTCTTACACTGACCTCCTCAGTTCAGACGAATCTGTCCCTTCTACTGTAATACCAGTTAAAGGGAAAAGAGGGGGAGAAATGCAGGAAAAAATTTACATATGCGATTAGGAAAACATGAGTAAGGGTAGCTGCAAAAACGTATTCTCAAAATCATACCGACGTCAATAGAGAGGCTGTAAAAAAAGTATGCATCTAATAACCCCTACGTTAATCAGGCAGCTACAGCTAAATACAATGAAAAGATATCACAAATCAGATCAATGCCTTAGACTAATAAGTATTTGTCTGGTTTTAAATATGAACCTCAAATTGATTATTCTAGGGAAAAGGTTGTTGATCTCGGACCTTGGTTACCCTGTGCCTGGTGCTGTGCCCTGAAGTGGCAGGATGAGACTATGGTCATGGGTCACTTTTTCAATGCCGTTGTAATTTTGAACAGTCACTAAATGAATGGAATTAATAGCCAGGGTGCTAAAGAGGAAACATATCTTGAGTTCTAGGAGTAAGGTATTTTGATTGGGTGATTATTATCAACATCTCACCTAATATTAAGTTGCTATCACCACCTTGCCTGGCTCATTTTATAGCTTCACATTATCAGGTATGCAAAAACATAGCTTTTTTAGCACTTTCAGGATTATGTGGCATTCTTGGGTTTCTTTTAATATTGCCATTTTTATTTATTATTCTCTAAGCTATTCTTCAAATCAGCAGTTTTATCTTGAAAATTTCACGGACCCCGTGGAATGGCTTGTGTGCATTACACTCAAAGGACATAGTGCTTCCCTGTGCTAGAGATCCAAATTGAAAGTGAAATCCAAATTTTCTTTCTACCGGTTCTGTGGGTATGGCTTGGTGGGTGTGGCATGGCTTGGTGGGCATGACAGGGGAAGGATACTGTAAAATCCCCATTTCCTCCCAATCAACTGGGACTTGGGAGGCAGAGAATAGATGGGGGTAGGGCCAGTCAGAGGTGGTGTTTACTGGTTCTCCGAACTACTTAAAATTTCCACTACCAGTTCTCCAGAACTGGTCAGAACCTGCTGAATGCCACCTCTGGATCAGCCTCTCTTTAGACCATTCAGAAAACATACTTCTTCCAAACTATAACTTACCACCACTTGGTTTGTCAGAAGCTGTTGCCTCCCTCTTTAATTACCATAGAGCTCTGAGGCGAAGTTACAGCTTCTGTGGGAAGGCATAATAATGAGATTCCCTTGGGTTTGGCATGGTTAAAGGGAAGGCTTTCTATTTCACGGAATGAAATCTTCACTTCAAAGTTCCCAGAGTTACAAATTATGATCCTGTGCCACCTGTCATAACATTTTGGTTCCTTTCTTCGACAACTCCATTTCTTAACTCAGTCAGAAGAGATCTGGAAGGGACCTTGGAGTCTTTTAGTCCAATATGATCAACCATTTTACATTTTCTTACACCACCCAAATTTTTGAAATGGGTAACTTGAAGCATTTAACAAGAATGCAAGTTCTTAAATATTTCTATTTGTAAAAAGCAACATTCTCAATGCATCTTTGCAGGCTTTAATTTTGGATGCATCATAAAATCTTGTCTAAATCTTTCCAAGATGTCAGGTGATGAGAGGATCATACAACTTTCCTATATCCATAAAATGTGTGTGTGCGTATTGATCTGATCTGATCAACTAAGAATTAAGATACTGTGAAATCTCAAGGGAGAGAAAGGAGATCAGAAAATAATCTCTCCCTTTCTTTGACATAAATAAAAAGCTTGAGGTGTTAGTTATTTAGTTAGATATTCATTTATTTATTACATATATGTCACCCATTTGGAGGGAGGGAGGGAGAGAGAGAGAGAGAGGATAAAAATGAAGTCACATGTACATATAGGATAGGCTGAAAGTCTGGTAGAACTAGTTACCCTTCCACTTATGAGCCAGAGGACTTAGCTGGCCAGTAATTGGAGATTCTACATTTTATTTCAGGGTTCAAAGAAATCAAAGAAGGAACAGATACAGAGAGAACAAACCAATACAGTAAGTACAGTTCTTTTACCAAATACCATTTTTGTTACATTTGCTATTAAGTAAGCTGTTGCTAACTAAAAAACCATGAAAATATTTTTTTTGATATGTTAGCTTGTCTATATATTTCATGGTATCCTTAAGTATTTTGAAATTTAGAGGTAGTGTCAAGATTGGGGGATTCTGGGCAGTATATACAATAAGAATGGAAGAATATAATGCTGTCCCGTCCCCTAAAGTACTGTTAGTGTTCCTTCATCTATTTACAAAAAAATAATAATTTTTTTTTTAATTCCTTCCTTCCTTTTGCCACTCCCTTCTAAGTGAGCATTTATTGCACTTGATGCTATTGCTAAAATCTTTTCTCTTTCATTATGTATTTTGTTAGAGTGGATAAAATGTTGAACTGAGCTTGGAAAAACTAAGATGGATGACTTGAGATAGTAATACAATCTACCCTATTTCTACATTACTACTAGTTGTAATTTTATGGTAGGGATAAAATGAAGGGAGACAATTTTACATTCAGCCTTGAACTTCCAAAGAAAAATGCAATAAGTAAATACATACATTATTACTGTTAGAAAGGCAGCTTGATGTACTGTGTGGTTCAGTGGGAAAATGCAGCCGGCTTCCTTACTGGCTCGGAAGTGTGCATGTGCCGTCATCACATCGTGGTTTTGACCCTCTGAGCATGCGCAGAAGGTTCAAAACCAGGACTGTCACCCATTTTTTGCCCTTCCAGATCCTCCGCGTAGGCCCTGCACTTACCTGGCACCCAAAACGGGCTGCGTGGAGAGTCCTGGGAGGGGAGGGGCAGGGTGGGCTGGGTCAGCCGGTCCTTGTAACTATCCATTAAAATTAACATCCGGTTTGCCCGATCCGGTCTGAACTGACTGAATCCCACCCCTGGATTTATCCATGGTTACCTCAAGATTGAATCAAAGGCATAACATACATCCATACATCCATACACACATAACTACTACTAATAAATCAATAAAATGATGGAAGACCTCTTCCAAACTACCATTTCATATGTAGTAAAAATGCAAAAAATAAATGCAAAAAATTAAATATATTTTCTGTTTAGCTGATTGGGGCTTTGTTTGATAACTACAGCTCTCAAACAAAGCTACAGCTTTTCTTGGAGAGGTCTCAAATTAAAACATCACAATTCTTTGGGGAATCTAGTCCTAAGAGTCCTATTAGGGGAAAAAAATCTTTTCATCTAAACTATCCCAATATTTTATTGGAATTGTACCATTCTTAAACAATTCTAATGCGTTTCTTCAAAAGATATAACTAATACAGTATAGATATAAATAATACGGCATGTAAGCAGTGATAGCAATTCAAGCAACTAAAATATCTGAAAGTGAAGTTAGAGAGCAAGAAAACAGACTAAGCAGGACTTGATATGACATTTTAAGAGAAAGATTATTTGAGAATAAGAAATCAGCAAAAAGAGATTACTGCATTACCAGGAGAACAACTGTACAAGTTGACTGACAAAAAAACAAACAAACCAGACAACAACTATTCTACAACTATGAATAAGGAAGGACTCCAGTAGAATTATATAAAATATTAACTATCGGTAGTAGTTATGTAGAAATAGGGTACACTGTAAGTTATTATCCCGAGTCATTCATCTTAGTTTTTCTATAAGCATGAAATATATGAAATCATTTCATATGCATGAAATATATGAAAATTAAGAATGTCTCAAATTGAGAAAAGAAGTTTAAGGATAGATATCGTGTATATAAGAAGTAGCATGCTAGATCAGACCAAAGTCCTAACTAGTTTATAATCTACTTCCTTGGTGAAACTCAAATACATTACATGACCTCAATAACACCAACCCTCGGCAACACATGAGCTCAACAACACTCTGTACTCACCCAGATATGTTGATAATAGCATAATGACCAATAGCATTTAGTTTTATATACTGCTTCACAGTGCTTTACTCTAAGCGGTTTACAGAGTCAGCCTATTGCCCCCAACAATCTGGATCCTCATTTTACCGACCTCGGAAGGATGCAAGGCTGAGTCAATCTTGAACCTGTCAGGATCAAACTGCTGACAGTTGGCAGAATTTAGCCTGCAGTACTGCATTTTAACTTCTGCACCACCAGGGCACGACCTGTAATGCTGAGGAAATATATCGCTGTTATGGATAATTGCTTTCAAACATTAAAAAAGAAAAAGAAGGATTATTGTGCCCATGGGTGATAAAAATATAATAAATATATAAAATATAAAGCCACGCCACCAACAACATTGCTAGGGCAAGCCACTGTATGTGGGAGCAAACTGCACACTCACTAGTACTAATGATGCCATCCAGTGGTGGGTTTCAAATTTTTTTACTACCGGTTCTGTGGGTGTGCTTGGTGGGCATGGTGCGGCTTGGTGGGCGTGGCTTGGTGGGCGTGGCAGGGGAAGGATACTGTAAAATCTCCATTCCCTCCCCAATCCAGTGGAAGGTTACTGCAAAATCCCCATTTCCTCCTGATCAGCTGGGACTTGGGAGGCAGAGAATAGATGGGGGTGGGGCCAATCAGAATTTTTACTATCGGTTCTCCGAACTACTCAAAATTTCCGCTACGGGTTCTTCAGAACTGGTCAGAACCTGCTGAAACCCACCTCTGATGCCATCTAATTTGGCTAATGAAATGTCTGCAAGCAAACATCCATCTCCGAAACACCAAGGTCTCCACACAAATATAAGAAACAGCTGGGCAAATATGTGGGGCAATATAAGAAACATTTGCAAGGAGAGAATCAACCTAGAACTAAGGAGTTAGAATAATGCCTAAGGCAGTGATGGCTAACCTTTTTCTCATCGTGTGCCAAAAGCGCGCATGGTGCCGGCACCCATAATGCAATGCAGGCCCCCCTGTGCATGAGCACACGATCCACCATGCTCTGCCCATGTCCCCATGCATGTGCACATGACCCCCATGCTCCCCCCCCCCACGCATGTGCATGCGATCTCCCGGTTCCCCATTTTGGGCCTAGTAGGCCTCCCTGCAACTTCCTGGCCCCAAAAACGGGCCATGGGGGGGGGGCACTGCACACAACCCCATGCCCTGTTTTGGGCCTAGTAGGTCTCCCTGCAGCCCCCTGGGCCCAAAAATGGGCTGGGGGGCACGCCACACACCCACATGCTTCCCTCCACCCCCTGTGCATGCACATGCATCTCCTGCATGCAGCCCGTCCCCTCACATCCCAAAAACCAGCTGGCTGGTGGGAGGCGTGTGCACATGCATGGTGGACCTGAGGTGGGCGACAGCTCGCATGCCTGCAGAAAGGGCTCCACATGCCAGCTGTGGCACATCTGCCATAGGTTCGCCATCACGAGCCTAAGGGATGGTTGTGCTATAAATGCTCATTCTTAGGACAATCTAGAGAAAGATGCTGAAAGTAGTAAAGAGGTAGAAATAAATAAAATTGGATATAATATAGTAATAATTATTTCCCTATAATCAGTGTGGAACTTTTAACAAATGAGACTAGGGTAAATATTGCCAGTTTAACTATATCATTAAATTCAACTGATATTTTCATTTGAGAAATAGTGATTTATGTTGAGAAATAGTGGCATCCGCTGGTGGGAACTAGTATAGCATTGTAGCTAAGAACTGGAGATACAGTATTGTATGCAATATTTATTTATACCTATAACATACCAAAATTTAATTGAATTGTCTCTTAAATGAATCAAATCAAAAATAATCCTCTAAATGAACAAACACATTTTCTTTTTCACAATTTCTTAGAGGAGGAAAATGAAAACCATCTTTCTCTTGTTGTTTATTGCTGGAATCCTTGCTGACAATTCTTACTCACAAATTTATATCCATCCTAACGAGAATAATTGTGACAATTACCAGTATGAACCTAACCCAGGAGGTGCCCGGACACCAATGCAAGTATTAATCGACAGTAATTCTGATTTTGCCTTCAAGCTCTTCCGGAAGGTCTCTTCCAGTGAAAGCCATCAAGGTGGCAGAAGCAAGAGCAATGTTGTCTTATCTCCCTTATGCATCTCCTCTGCCTTTGCAATGCTGGCCTTGGGTGCAAAGGATAACACTTTAGATCAGATTTTGAAAGGCCTTGATTTTAGGCCATCAGAGATCCAGGAGAGGATGATTCATGAAGGCTTCTGTGAACTCACACATATGCTAAATAATGGAGGAGCTGGACACCAGATGGAAATCGGGAAATGTCTCTTTGTGCAAAACCAGCTATATCCTGAAGAACAGTTCTTAAGTGGCCTCAAAAACTTCTATGGCGGAGACATCTTTTGGGAAAATTTTAAGAATGCTGCAGCAACTGAGCAGCACATCAACAGCTACATCAAAAGGAAAACCCGTGGGAAGATTTCTAAGCTTGTCGATGAAGTCGATCCCAACACTGAAATTCTGCTAATTAGCTATATTTATATGAAAGGTATATATGAATATGAATTATATATATATAATATAATTATATATATAATTATGTATATATATAAATTTCATATGAATTTATATAATATATATATTATATGAATTAGCTATGTTTATATGAAAGGGATGTGGTGGCTCAGTGGCTAAGATGCTGAGCTTGTCGATCGAAAGGTTGACAGTTCAGCGGTTCAAATCCCTAGTGCTGCGTAACGGAGTGAGCTCCTGTTACTTGTCCCAGCTTCTGCCAACCTAGCAGTTCGAAAGCATATAAAAAATGCAAGTAGAAAAATAGGGACAACCTTTGGTGGGAAGGTAACAGTGTTCCGTGCACCTTTGGCGTTTAGTCATGCTGGCCACATGACCACGGAGACATCATCGGGCAGCGCTGGCTCTTTGGCTTTGAAACGGAGATGAGCTCCTCCCCCTAGAGTCGGGAACGACTAGCACATATGTGAGAGGGGAACAGGCTTTTGGAGGTTTTTTTTCAATCATAGCTGACCTCAGTTTCCTGTCACATATTATATTATGGTCTAGGCATAATTCAATGGAATTATGAAACTGGAGGCGTGGAGGGTACACAACAATCTCTGTCTCCAATATTCCTAGCACCACACTGACTTTGCTAGATAACATCAAAAAACAAAGGATAATAATTGTATTCAAGCTGAAGTTCATTCTGTATGTAGTTCTGCTTTGCCTTAACCTTTTTTTTTTTTTGCTTTTTGCTTGCCAACCCTTCCTCCTACTCACACAAACCTTTGTTCTGCCAACTGATTTCTGCTCAGCAAGGATCTTACTCTGACATTACACACACATAGTTTGTGTGAAACAGCCATTCAGGAGTTAGTACCGCTGACTCTTTAGAAACTATAAATTCAAGCTATTTAGTTATGCATTGTGATTAAAGTTATATTCTCCCAGCAGTCAGGTTCCAAAGCAATATCTGGCTTCAGAATCAGAATCAGAATCAGAATTGAGTTGGAAGGGTTCTTGGAGGTCTTCTAATCCAACCCCTGTTCAAGCAGGAGTGATGGCTAACCTTTTTGCCATCGCATGCCAGGAGAGGGGGGCGGGGGAAGTTCACACGCATGTGCCCACACCCATAATTCTATGTGCCCTGCCCTGCGCGTGCAACACCCCCCTCCCTGCTCCTGGCATGCGATGGCCTGGTAGGCCCATTTTTCTTTCTTACCTGGCTCCAGATCCTCTTTATGCATCTGGGAAGGGCGAAAACAGCCTTTCCCACTCCCTCAGAGGCCTGAAAGGGCCCATTTCCCAACTTCCGGTGGAACAGGAAGTGACATTTTTTGGGGTCCCCAGCCTCCAGAGCCTCTCTAGGAGGAAATCAAGAAAATATATTTAGGAATGTTAATTGTGGCAGAGGTGTTGCTATGTAACCTTTTTATTTTTTTAAAAAAATAGCAAAGAATGTGAACTAAAGCAGACAATTACCCATGTTATTCAGGATTTCTTGCCTTGTCTGCTCTAATAGCTATAAAAATAGAAGTTCCCCGTTTATTTATTTTTTTATTAAAAAGATTTATCAAATATTACAACATTTTTTTCCCTGTCCCTCCTCCCCCCCTCCCCTCCTCCACCCACCACCCATCCCCCATCCCCCCTCTCCCTCCACCCCCCCTCCCCCCACCCCGGACTTCCCAGAGCAAATACAGGGTATAACATTTAACAAACACAAACTAAAATATGCTAACTTTCTGTAGGCACTTAATTCCCTCTTGCTCTCTAACTCCCCTTTCAACTAACAAAACATAATTCAAAAAGAAAAAGTTGATTTCATTCATAAGCTATTTGAAGCTTTTTAGTCCGATATTTGTTTTGAATATAGTCAATCCATCTTCTCCATTCTGATGTTTATCTTTCATTTGAATGGTCCTTCAAATACGTTGAAATTTTGGCCATCTCTGCTAAGTTCACTACTTTTAGTGTCCATTCTTCAATAGTAGGCAAGTCTTCCTTCTTCCAATACTGCGCCACCAAAAGTCTGGCTGCTGTTATTAAATTTAAAATCAACTTAGTCTCTATAACAGTACAATCTGTAATTATACCTAACAAGAAAACTGTGGAGTAAATTTTATCTTCTTTTTGAGAATATTTTGAATAATCCACCATATTTTTATCCAAAATGCCTTAATTTTTTTAAATTATAATATATGATATATGATAATACGTGGCATCATCACATTCACATCTCCAACACTTGGGTTGCACACTTGGATACATACAGGCTAGTTTTTTAGGATCTAGATGCCATCTATAAAACATTTTATAAAAATTCTCTCTTAAGTTTTGGGCTTCCCCGTTTATTAAAAGAATGATTTAGTATTGGTGGTTCATACTAAAATTTTGTGCAAAAAGTTAAGAAAAACCACTTTCTTTAGCTTTTTGGAGTATTGTGCAACTCATTCATAGCATTACATCAACTCTGGCACATACACTTCCTCCTAACCAGAAGCTCTCAAGCGACAAGAGATGTGTTAATTTTGCGAGATTGCCCCCAACTAGTCTTCAGTACGTGGCTGGTCGGTCTCTGGATGTCAGATTCCCAACACCCAGCACCAGTTCAGGGTTCCTTTCCCTCCCCCACTCCCTGACAGAGAGGGAGAGAGGGAGGGAAAGAGAGAGAGAGAGACAAGAGACACAGAGAGAGGGGGGAGGAAAAGAGAGAGAGAAAGAAAGAGATGAGAGAGATGAGTGAGAGGAGATGAGATAGGGAGAGATAGGGAGAAAGAAAGAAAGAAAGAAAGAAAGAAAAAGAAAGAAAGAAAGAAAGAAAGAAAGAAAGAAAGAAAGAGAAAGAAAGAAAGAAAGAAAAAGAAAGAAGAGATGAGAGAAATGAAAGAAAAAGATGAGAGAGAGATGAGAAAGAGAGGGAGGGAGGGAGAAAGAAAGAGATGAGAAAAATGAGTAAAAGAGAGATGAGAGATGAGAGAGGGAGAGAGGGAGAAAAGAGAGAGAGAGAGAGAGAGAGAGAGAGATACCTGTTTAAAAGAAAATAGAAAAATGGCTCTTTGAGTGTTTAAATTTGCAGACCCCTGGGTTGAGCAAATACCATGGTTGTTAAACCAGAAGGAATTGTGGGAAACTGGCAAAAAACATAGAAAACCTCAGTCACATGACTGTGTGGGATGTTGTAACTGGTCATAAGTGTGTGTGTGTGTGTGTGTGCATGTGTGTGCGCGCGGATGACTGTCAAAACTCCAAAAACAGGTCAAATAGCTCTGGGGAGGTCAGTCGTAAAGTAGAACACTTGCTAAGCAACCAGCCATTAAGCGAGGACCACTTGTATTTGGTTTGCCTTAAGGATTCAGAGCTGCATGGAATCTGGTTTCCTTTGACCCTTTGGGGGATTGCAAAAGGTTCGTATGGGGGAAATCCTCTTAGGGGGAACTAGGATCGTGACCACCTAGCCACATCCACCCAGTCACATGACCACCAAGCCACGCCCAGTTACATGATCGCCAAGCCAGCCCACTCAGTCACATGACTGCCAAGCCATGCCCACCAGTCACATGACTGCCAAGCCACACTCACAAATAAGGCACACCACAAATAAGCCACGCCCACAGAACCGGTAAAAAAATTGAAACCAACCACTCAGCCAGTTTGATTCATTGTCATTATTTTTCTTGTCTTCCTACTCAGGGTTTTTAGTTCTGCTTGAGTCAAGTCCATTATTCCAGCTGTGTATCTAATACCTAAATTGCCCAGGTGTTAATTTCCTTGATGGTATTCACTCCAATGAACTTGGACTTGGCTTTAAGATCTTGTTCACTCACATGATGTATTCACCTCTAACCTCTTGACTTCAGTGTGCTTGATTTTATCAGCTTGAAGATACACAAGAATCCAGATTCCATACGGCATCTCGAACCATTCAGTGTTCACTATTTTCCCCCTGTTGATGGTACAGAGAGCACATTTATCTAGCCCAAACACCATTGCAATATCTTGGCTATATACACAGTATATTGAGTATTGAGAAATAAACCTAGGATGTTGATTGGGATGAGAGGATTATTGGTGCAAAATCACCAATCTAGCTTTCATGCCTAAGAGAGGCCAGGAACTCATTAACTTCTGGCTTCTTGACCAGTCTCTTAACCACTGCACTAAAATGGCTCAAATGTAGGAAGAGCCACCTTAAGATCTAAATCTAACAGCAGCACAGGGAACATTTCTTGCTATGAGTTGTTTTTATAATGCATTTTCATGAAGGAATGAAAAATTTCCTTATACGCAAGAAACACTTTCTTTATTGGTGCTAACCAAGTGAAATTTTTTCAATTAAGTGGATGTAAGTATGCAAAAAAAAAAATTCAGTTATGTTACTCCCACCCTGCCTGCAGCCTGAAAGGGCAAAAACCCATTTTGAGTTTTGAACTTGAACTTAGGCTTGATTTTTTTTTTATTGAAGTTCTAATTGGCTGATAATCTTGTATCTTGAGGTGCTACAAAACTAGAAGGTCTCTTTATAGGCATGGCAGTTTTCACTTTGCTTTGTAACAGCATGATAAATGAATCAAAATCTCAATAAGAAAGTCCTTACAGAGATCTCTGGATAGAGGATGGGATTGCACAAGATGGATGCACTCTTAAGTCCATGCTTCCCTTTTGGTAGTCATCTTACTGCTGATATTCTTTCAGCTCCTTCTCTTGAAGAACTGCGTCAGAAGGGAAGCTATACTCACAGTCACTTAAATACACAATTCTTTCAAAAGACTGTGCTTTATCACAATCCAGACATCCACATCCTCTATTTCAGAAGCAGCCCTACAAGGGTTGAATAAGTATCCAAGGCTGTATTTTCCTGGCACACAGAACCTACCCAGTCAGTAAACACTAAATTAAGATTCCCTCCCTCTCTTCCATAACTTATCACACCAATTTCTCTTAACTCCCCAATTGTATGGCCCACAGTTCAAAATTACTTACTAATATATATATTCTTTTCTAAGCTAAATGGAAGAAGCCTTTTAATCCAAAGTACACAGAGAAGCACAACTTCTATGTGAATACCTACACGGTTGTGAAAGTGCCAATGATGTTCCAAATGGGCATGTTTGAAATTGGACGCGATGATGAGAAATTCTGTACGATTTTGAAAATGCCCTATGAAGGTCACACTGCTGCATATTTTATCCTGCCTGACAAAGGGCAGCTTGAGAGCGTGGCCAGCAGCTTGTCACGTGGAGTTTTACAGAAATGGAAAAATATACTTGTGAAAAGGTAAGAAAGATAGATTAAGCCCAACAATGGTGGGATGAGCCTCTAAAAGCAAGGATGTTTTTAGATATACAATCTGTGTCCTTCCAGACTGCTTGCCCACTAATGACAGATCCTGGAAGTCATTCAACAACATCTGAAGGGACACAAATTTCCTATCTACATAGTGAAAGAAAGATCTCCCTCTGTCTCTGGGAGGAGGTGGGGGAGAGAAGTCAAAGTAAACACAAAGTCAGACCACACGAAACCAAACCAAAATAGTGATTGGCATAAGCCAACTGAAGACTAATTACCAACCACTTGCTTCTTATGAACAAGGCTTCAAATTAAAAGTCATATTACTGAGTTCAGCACTTATAATTCATGCAACTGCTGAAGCTAGAATAATTGGGGTACTTATTCTTTTGGGCTGGTGATTACATTTGAAGTTCTGAAAATGTTTGGGGCATGTTGTCAAAATGGCTGCCACTGAAAGTTTTTCCAATTCTTAACACGTTTGTAAATTGCCCATAGCTTGACTTAAAACATATGTTTTCTATAAATCAAAAATATACTGTAAGGTTTAAAAAAGCAATTTGCTGAAGAATCAAGATAAGAAAAAATTATCAATCTTTTGAGTTGTATTTTCTGCTCCATCCTTTATTTTAAAAATACAACAGAGGCCTAGTAATTAAATAACACAAGTAAATAAACTTATCCAAAAATCTGACAGGGCTAAAGGTATCCAAAGTGTGTTGATATGTGGGAATGACTTTGGCAGACTGCAGGAAGACCCACAGCCGAGGCAAGCCTTTCCATTCGATAAGCTTGTGGCAATATATTTTTAAAAGCTATTTGTAGCTTTTATCTGAATTTCACAGAAGGTCCCATGAAGGTAGTATTTTAGTAAGCCTGTGAAGATAACAGTTCAGCAAAATTGCAGCCAGCAGCTCTTCTTCGATAACAGTGATCACTGATGATGATGATAGCATAATATTATAAGTAACTACACTGAGAGGTGGGCTGCTGCCAGTTTGCACCGGTTCAAGTGAACCGGTAGTTAATATTCTGCACAGTTTGACGAACCAGCAAATCCGACCACTGGCTGACCCCATTCCTGCTCTTTTTTTGGCCTGTTTTCAGGCCATTTTTTGGGCCAAAACCACCCCGAAAAATGGCCTGAAAACCGCCCAAAAAACGGCCTGAAAATGACCAAAAAAACCAGACCGAAAAATGGGCCGGGGCAGGGTCAGCCAGTGATGGGATTATCCCCAACTGGTTGAATCCTACCTCTGCCTTTGAGTGGCCAGGGGGCAGGGCTGGGTATGATGAGTGACGTCACCCACCCAGTCACATGGCCACGCTGACCCAGCTAGAGAACCGGTTGTTAAGTTATTCAAGTCCCACCACTGGCTACGCTGAATACTAATTTGAGCTGGGAGATGGTCACAATAGGCATTAACTCCAACAGGAAAGCAGCTATCCCTAAATAAAGGATCAACTTGTCAACTTGCAGGATTCTTAAGCAAGGCAGGAAAAAATCAAATGGGTTTTCTGAAATGCCACAGAAATTGAACTTGTAGATATTTGTGTCAGTATTGTTCACAGATTTTGTTCAGTTGATATGGTCATAGGGAGAGAAAATAGGGAGAGAAAAATCATCATATGAAAATATTTACAAATGGGCCAGGACAAAGATTTTAGCTTAGTAGTTTCAAAGTTTGATAATCATCTAACTATAGCCTAATCTTGTGAAAGTCCCTTCTACCTCTTTTTCATCAGATAAGCCAGGTTTGCATTGCATTCTTAATGTAATTCAGAAATCTTTCTTCGACAGCTCTATAAATTTGTATATACCAAAATGCCAGGTAAGTGGAGAGATTAAGCTGAAGAATATAATGTACTCTCTGGGTGTGGCTGACATATTCACTGACAAAGCAGATCTATCCGGAGTCACAGGACAGCCCCAGCACAGGCTCTCAGAGGTAAGATACAGTTCTCCCCTTTCCTGTAAGAGGCATTAGATAGATATACCTGCTTCAAAATTTAGCATACAGTATGTGTAGACCTGCACTGCTGGTTTATATCAATTGAAACATGATAACTGCTCAAAATCATCTTAGGAATTATACTTTGGTAAAGGTGACAGTACTTCCTGTTAAAAATAACCATCTGTGTTTGTTTATTTGACTACTGTAAGTCTAGAAAGAAGTCTCTCTTAATGGTATGCAGATATTTTATTATAATGTATTTCAAAATGCATAAGTGTAGCATATTGGTATTTTATGTTTAATGCATTTTTAAAAAGCATACACCACTTTTGAGTATAGAAAAATGATGCATAAATACGTTCAGGAAATACATAATTATCAAGGGACAATTATAATTTGGACTCTATGTTCCATAGAAACTAACTCTACTCATGATGTGTACCTACCCTCCGCTTTACTTTTCCTATGAAGTCCTGTTTCTTCTAAATATCCTCTCTGAAAGACTGAAGACAATTCAACATAAGTGGGATCATCTCTTTTAGAGAACTTAGGTGGATGGGGAGATGGTGTTTCTGTAACTCAAAAAGGCTTTCTTAGACCTTCCCCATTCATTCATTTGTCTTCTTTACAATAACTTTAGAATTCTGGAAATAGCAGTCTAAAATAGATTTATATTCATCTAAAAGCAAAATGATATGATCTTTCTCTCCCTGTATTTTTTTCTCTAGGCCATTCATAAAGCTGTGATCATGATTGATGAAAAAGGAACAGAAGCTTCAGCTGCCACTTCCATGGACATGGTGCCCCTGTCTGCACCTATTGTAATAACATTTAATAGGCCATTCCTAATAGTAATTGAAGAACAAAATAATATAATATTCATGGGAAAAATTGTAAATGCTGCTGAGAAATAGGTCAGAATGCACTTGACTATTAACAGCGCATATTAAAAAGCAATAGCAATAGCACTTAGGTTTACCATATTTTTTGGACTGTAAGACGCACCTAAATTTACAGGAGGAAAACAAGAAAAAAATAGTTTTTTGCCTCCGCGCATCGGATTTTCGCCCTCCCAGGCCCCCAGAAGCACACTGCAGTGCTTTGCATGGCCCATTTCTGCCAAAAACTGGCCTGTTTCTGCCCTACAGAGTGCTTCTGGGGGCTGGGGAGGGTTAAAATGCAATGCGCAAGGGCTTGGGAGTCCAAAAACCAGCCCATCTTTGGCAAAAATGGGCCCATTTTTGATGAAAACAGGGCCATGCAGGGGCCAGGGAGGGCAAAATCGTGATGTGTGGAGGGTTCGGAACAGGGGTGGTGTTATGTACTGGCTATGTGAATTTGGAGGGAAAAAGAAGCGGGAAAATACTTAAAGCGGATTGGCTAAGATGCCTGACAGCTCTCTATATAAGGAGAGCTGTCAGACGGTAGGCTGCTAGATTCTGTACATAGTTAATAAAGAGCTGTTGATTGTACTCTGGCTCCCGTCTGCTCATTTGCTCCATCTAACAGGTGGTATTCACTTACCTTCGTTACCGGTTCACAAATGTGAGCACTCGCACGCTCGCTTCTCTTGCATGTGCCACCTCTGTGCATGCACAGGGCCTTCTGTGAATGCACAGAGAATCAAAAATGGGACATGATTATGTCTTGGCGGGTGGGTGGAGCCTCCTGCAGCCACTGCTACCAGTTCGCCCGATCCGGATAGAATCGGCTGAATACCACCATTGGTTCAGGAGGCCAAAAACACCCATATATGGTCTATAAGAGGCACCTAAATTTTCACCCACTTTTAGGGGGGGAAAGGTGTGTCTTATACTCCGAAAAATACAGTATATACCACTTCACAGGGCTTTGTCGGAGTTTGTAGCGATCCAGCCAGCACACAAGCAAATAATTCAGCAGGTTTCATTATATAGAAGAAACTTCTTTATATACAAAAATATAAAATATGATGCATGTATACAATACCCATGCAGCTCTTGCAACGTGGCAGAGAGAAGAAGAAGTAGCAAGTACACACAAGCAAAGACAGTCACAACACAGAACAGTTAAATGTTTTTAGCTGAGAACACCAGATGGCGCTAGTCTCTATTTATTGCTTTTTTCCATGCTACAATAGAGTTACTTTTGAGGAATATTTCAGGGGCTATTCTTTCAGATATCCACAATCTCTTTCCAACAAACTGATCCCAAGATATTGTGTATTTTTTTCATCTTTCACTAGAAAAATCTCTCTCAAATCTACTCCCTCACTATTGCTGATCTTCAAAATAGCCAGCATTTTTTTTATCCCTCATCAGAATTATTTGAATTATCCTTGGTCCCAGGGATTCCCAAGAGTAGTTCTATCAAGATTTCACCACCAAGTATCTTAAGACATGTCTCATTTATGTCCATGATGCCAATCCTCACTCAGATTATGCCCACTGCATTCTTTGAGTGTGCTCTATGCATGTGGCCTACAAATCAGACCAAATTGTATTCCTTTATTGTTTATTTACTTAATTTGATAAATACAGGTAGTCCTCGGATTATGACCACAATTGAGCCCAAAATACATGTTGCTAAGTGAAACATTTGTTAAGTGAGTTTGCCTCAATTTACGACTTTTCTTGCCACAGTTGTTAAGTGAATCATTGCATTTGTTAAGTTAGTAGCATGTTTGTTAAGTGAATCTAGAATTCCCATTGATTTTGTTTGTCAGAAAATCGCAAAAGCTGATCACATGACCCTAGGACACTGCAGCCATCATAAATATGAACCAGTTGCCAAGTGTCCGAATTCTGATCATGTGACCATGGGGATGCTGCAATGGTCAGAAGTGTGAAAAATGGTCATAAGTAACTTTTTTCAGGGCCATTGTAACTTTAAACAAGTTACAAGCAACGTCAATGTGGAAGCCAGATTCACAACAACCATGTTACTAATTTAACAACTGCAGTGATTCTCTTAACAAACGCTGCAAGAAAAGTCGTAATTTGGGACAAAACTCACTTAACAAATTTTCCACTTAGCAACATAAATTCTGGGCTCAATTGTGGTTGTAAATTGAGGATGACCTGTACGAAATTCAGTATCCTAATTGTGATGACCTGGGGCATGGCCCAAAGGCAATACAGTCAGAAAATAAGTACAAGTCTCTTTATTAGCTCCAAACTTTGTTCCCAATGTCCCTTTTCACTCCGGTCTGGAGAAAAACTCTTCCACAAACCTGTAAGCAGACAAACTCCCTACCATAAATCCAACAGGGCAAGATAAGGTAATTAATCGGGCAAGGCAAGCAAGATAAGGAATTCCAGAAGTGAAGTACCATGGAAGTAAATCAAACCAGTTGGGAGGATGCCAGGAACTCAGATAAACACAAGATGAACTCAGTATTTGTTCCCGACAACCGCTCCTCCCATTTGCCTCCCTTTTAAACTCCATCTCCAGGTGTATCTTGTGAAGGGAGTCGGGGCCCTCTCCTCCCTCATAAGCTATGCAACCCATGTTGCTCTCTTCTCCATTCTTCCCTGCATGCCCTAGAATGAGTGGGGGTGGGCCTTGGTCTTCATCAGAACCCCCTCTCCCTTGTTTAAGGTGACCAGACATCCCGCTTTTGGCGGGACAGTCCCGCTTTTGAGCAATTTGTCCCGCGTCCCGCGGTGTTTCAAAAAAGTCCCGATTTTTCTTGAGCCCCAGCTGACGGCTAGAAGAAAAAAAAACTGTTTAAACTCTTGCCCGGGGCTTCAAAGGGCCGCCCTACAGGCAATCAGTGTAAAGCAGTTTTTTTTCCCCCTAGCTAAGCTTCAGAAACGAAACCGAAACCAGGGTCTTTGGTGCAGCGTGACAAAATGAGGCAGAGAGAGATTTATTTTTATTTTTATTTTTCCTCCCCAAAAAAGGTAGGTGAAAAACTGCAAACAATGGGAAATTTAGGAGGAGAGTTCAAGATTTTAAAACACAAAGGAAAAAAAGCTGTATTTAACTAGGGAATTGTAATAATTGAGATACTATTAATTGTATATTGTGTTGAAAGCAGAAATGGTTAAGTTGTGGTTCGGAGGAATATATGGGAGAAATTATTTGGTTTATTATTATTGGTAAATATAATTAATTGATTTGTAAGAAATTGGATTGCATGGAAATAATTGGAATATTCATGTTCATATTGATTAATATACAAAAAAGATAGTTTTATAACTAATTGATTTATATTAAAATGTTGAATTTGTATTAAACAACTGTATTACATAATTACATAATTAAACAATGTGAGGATGGATATAAAAATAGATGACAATGGGAAGGGGTATAATATAGAATAGAAGGGAAAAATTGAATTTGATTAAGATTAGAGATGAGGATGAAGGGTAATATTGGTTTTTTTAAAAAATAGATGAGGAATAAATATGGCAAAAAGGAAATATAGAAATTGTAAATTTAATTGAAATGACTAAACGCTGTTTAAATTTGTGAACCAGCCAAATATTCTGTTCAAAGAAAATACATTGTATGTTTGTATGTGTGTTTCTAATTATTGTTATTTATTCATATTTGTTCTCTTTTATTCTTTAAAGTTTAACAATTCATTCTTTATCTTAATATCTTTATATTTGCTTGGGGTTGGCTTTCTTCCCTTTCATCTTTTTTATTGTACAGCAATCTTTCTCCTCAAACCTACCACCTCTCTCTTTTCTTTCCTTCTTACTTTCTCTTCCCCCCACCCTCTTTTTCTCCTCCCTACTTCCTCTTTCTTTCTCCTTCTCCTCCTCTCTTCCTCCCTCTCTTACCCTCACTCCTACTCTAATTTCCATTCCTTCATCCCTCTCTATTGCTGTAATCCTTTAATGCATATGGACTACTCAGAGGGCTGAAAAAGTTATTTTTGACTGGTCCTCACACTTTTGACCAGTCCTCGAACTTATGACTGTCCTCACATTTTACATTTTTGCCCTATCTTGTCATCATGGTGAAGAGAAGCAGTTGTGAAATGAGTGACATGGTTGTTAAGAATGCTGCATGGGCATAAATGTGAGGATGGTCATAAGTGTGAGGACCAGTCAAAAGTGCGAGGACCTGTCAGAAATGACTTTTTTCAGCCCTCTGGTTAGTCCTTTTGTGCATATGGACTACTCAGAGGGCTGAAAAAGTTATTTTTGACTGGTCCTCACACTTTTGACCAGTCCTCGAACTTACGACTGTCCTCACATTTTACATTTTTGCCCTATCTTGTCACCATGTTGAAGAGAAGCAGTTGTGAAATGAGTGACATGGTTGTTAAGAATGCTGCACGGGCATAAATGTGAGGATGGTCATAAGTGTGAGGACCAGTCAAAAGTGTGAGGACCTGTCAGAAATGACTTTTCAGCCCTCTGAGTAGTCCCTATACACATAGCCATGGCCACCCGGTCACATGACCAGGTAGCCACGCCCACCCAGTCACATGACCTCCAAGCCACGCCCACACAATAAGCCACGCCCACAATGGTGTCCTTACCAATGTTAAAATCTGTTCACCTTACCCTATAGACATAGCCATGGCCACCCGGTCACATGACCAGCTAGCCACGCCCACCCAGTCACATGACCAGCTAGCCATGCCCACAAAATAAGCCACGCCCACAATGTCCCTCTTTACCAATGTTAAAATCTGGTCATCTTACCCTTGTTCTACCTCTCCCCTGCACTGCCCAGCCTGACTTTGCCCTTCCCCAGTTTCCTCCACAGCCAATGGGGCCACTTCTCGCTCTCTGTCAGCTGTTTCTCTTCCATCTCAGAGTCAGACTCCAGCAGGGGCATGACACTAATCAAAGTGAAAGAAGAGGAAAAGGAAAGGGTACCGTATTTTCCGGCGTATAAGACGACTTTTTAACACATGAAAATCTTCTCAAAAGTCGGGGGTCGTCTTATACGCCGGGTGTCGTTCTCCTGTAACCAGGCAGACCAGCCCGAAAGGCTCTGACGAGCCTTAAATGGCTCTGGCGATCCCAGCTCTGAGGATCTCAGCTCTGACGATCCCAGCTGAGTTCATTGCAACTCAGCTGGGATCGCCAGAAACCACGTAAAAGGAAAAAAGTTTTTTACCTTTTACTCTGAGGATCCCAGCTCTGACGATCCCAGCTGAGTTCCCTGCAACTCAGCTGGGATGGCCAGAGCCATGTAAAAGGGAAAAAGTTTTCCCCCTCCAGCTTGCTTACCTCAGCTGCTAGTCGCAACGCTTGCCTTGCTTTGCTTGCCTGAATCTATTCAGGCAAGCAAGCAACTCCCTGCCTGCAATCAAGCAAGGAGGGAGTTGTGGACTTCAACTCCCAGAATTCCTCAGCCAGCAAAGCAAAGCTGGCTGAAGAATTCTGGGAGTTGAAGTCTACAAGTCTTAAAGTTGCCAAGGTTGGAGACCCCTGTTCTATTGGGTAAGTTTTTTTCCCCTTTGGGAGCTTTAAAAAAAATAGTCAATTGGGTTTTTTTTAGTTGTTCTTTTTTAGACCTAGCC